CCTTTTTTGCGATAAATGATTGTTGCGGGCGGTGGCGGCTTATAAAAATTGGCCTCGCAGAGGAGGGGAACGCGAATTATCCCACGCATTGCCGCGCGCAGGCGGAAGGGGGCAGGGCGCAATGCAATCCCATTCGGACGGGCCCCAAGAGCCCATCGCTGCGCATTGCTCGGCATTGCGTGGTATTGCCCGGGAATCTGCGATGCTTGGCATTCATGGGCATCGCTTGGCGTTGCTTGGGGGCGCGCGGCAACCGCGCCCAAACGCGCCATTTGTTACAGTGGGATTGGCAGCCAGGAAAGAGTGCGCCACACGTTGTTCGCGCTGAAATACTTGGCATTGAACGGCATTGCCGTTGTCCGGCCGGCGACTGTCCGGCTGGCGACTGCCCGATGCGTTGTTCGGCCGGTGACTGCCCAATGCGCCCAGGGGGCCTCCGAGAGATCCCCGATGGGGCCTCCGAGATCGCTCCGAGACGGCCCAAGAATCTCCCCAGTGAGCCCACTGACCGCGTCCGCAGCGCAGAGCGTCGACATCGCGCTCATCCCTGCGACGCTGCTCGCTAGCACCTGCGGCCGACGAGCAGGTCATCCCGCGGGCGCAGGCCGCAGCAAACTAGGCGACGTCAGCAGCCGCCCAGACTTCGCCGGGGCGGCGCGCCAACCAGACGGCGCGGGAGGCGGCGGCCAGGTCATCCGCGCCGCCTGCTGCTGCTGCTGCTGCGACTGCTGTTGCTGTGGTGGTTGCGTTGCCGACGCTCCGCCGCCCCTTCTGCCCGATCAGTCGATCTGCGACGGCGCGCGCTTCAGCGAGGCTTTCGCCGATGCGATCCCATCCGGCGCGTTCCAGGGCGCGCGCGCAGGCGCGCTCGCGGCAGCGGCAGCTCGCGCGGGCGGCGCGGCTGGGCGGCAGGGGCAGCCGCGGCTGTCGCGCGCCCGCCCCAGTGATGACGAGAACGGGGCCGAGGGCAGGGGGGGCGCCGAGGGCCGCGGCGGCAAGGCTGGCGGCGCGGCTCCGACGGCCGGTCCGCCGAAGGGCACAGCCCGCGCGGGCGGCTGCCCCCGCCCGCCGTGCTCCAGCCGAGGCGCCGGCCGAGGCCATGTCCCCCGCCGTGGATTCGCGAGCCAAGGCCCGCCAGCGCCGCCAGCGCAAGCGGGCGGGGGCGGCGCGTGCGCGGGGCCTCCCGCCCGGCAGCGCCGACTCTGCCGGCCCGCCGCCTATGCGGGCGCCGCGGCGGCGCTGAAGGCGGCCGCGTTCGGCGGAACGTTGCGCCGTTGAACGGGCGTCGCGGAGGCGATCCAGCCGGCTGGCAGTCGCGCCATGGCCGCGGGCTGCGAGCCAAGCGCCCAGCGGCCCATCATCTTGACCCCCCATGCTATCTCGGTGGCGGCGTGAACTCGCGGGCGCGCCATGCGGTGCAAGTTCTTTTGCAAGCCAAAAAACGAGCCCCCCAAGTGAGCCCCAAGACGGCCCAGGATATCTCCAATCTCGTGCTGAAGCATTGTGCAAGTGTCACCTGGTGCTTGGTACCCCTCGCGCCTTATTCAATAGCTTGACTGTGTGCTCCTTGTTGTCATCCCCGCTGCGCGCTCACTTCTTATGTATATATATATGTATATATATATATATATAGCTTTCTCTCTCTCTCTCTTTGCCTCTCTCCCTCTCTCGATCCCTCTCTATCTCTGTTCCTCTGCCCTTCTACGCTGGTTACTGCTGTTGTTTCCAGATTCAATGCGCCTTGCACTGTGTAGTAGTTGCTCGCTGCCCTCTCTGCTCCACTCTGCTGTGCATTCGGGTCTGTATTTTATTCCCTGTGCTATCCACTCACTTTCTGAGCGCGGTTGTAACATTCCGGGGGTCTTGCATTCTCAAATGTCTAGTGCCCATTAATTTTAGCCAATTTGCTCGCAACCTTCTGGTTCTTATGCTCTTCACGATCGAATCCTGAGGCATTTGGCCGCAACCAGGACGTCCAAACCCACAGGAACCCGACGCTGCTAGGAACCCCCGACTTGGGGGCTCTGGGACCCCTGAGGACCTGACGCTGCCAGGAACCCCCGTGCTGGAGATCGTAGGAGCTCCCGGGGAGCTGATTCTGCAACCGAATACCGGGAAACTTGCACACCCCGTGAGCTTGGCCGCCCACCGAATTCGGCGCCCCACATTCGCCCACGTTCCAATCTCCGTGGTGACCCCCTCAGTGCAAGCGCTGCCTGGGGAACACATATAACCACACATGTATGCTTCAGTCGGGCTTGTCCCTCTACAGGAGGAGACTTCAAAACAGTTAAAATATAGTCCGGGGACGATTTTTGGAGCATGTTTTGGCTACTTGGGGGTATTTCTTGAGTGCGTTTTATTTTTCGCCCAAAATCCCCCTGTAGGGGGACATGCCCGACTTAAATGCATGCACGTTCGTCCACAGGCACACTTTCAAATACGCGCGCAGTCGCGCGCAGACGCACCTGCTCATTCGCGCCCACGTGACATGTTCATGCGTCTTGGGACGCAGCGTTGTATCAAGTCGGGCCTGTCCCTCTACAGGAGGAAAATTCCAACAAACAAAAAATTGTCGGGGGACGATTGTTTGAGAATTGTTTGGCAATGTTGTGTTTGGCTTGTTTTTTTTTATATTTATGTCATTTTCAACTTTTCGCCTCAAATCCCCCTACAACGGGACATGCCCGACCTCAGCGTTGTATAGTGCATGCGGATCGACACTGTTGGTTCGATCGCCTCGCAACCATAAGAGGATATCGTGTGTCGTGCCTCTTGTCTGCCGGGTGCGTTCGACGTTGCTCGGGTTCCCAGAAATTATGAGGTTCGCTGCGTCAGTTTGTTATCCTGCCGCCCATCCTTCTCCCGCCCGGACTGGCCGGTGCCTGTGAAATCGTGGTGTCGAAGTGTTGTTGCGTTGAGCTGTGTCGTTGCGTTTTTTCTGGTTGTGTTTGTTGCATCATATTGTTGTGCTTTTGCAGCCAGCAGCGGTTCTTGGCTGGGAAATGGTCGGTCGATATGTGGCCAACGATGCAAGTGATCAGATGCTCGGCGACAGTGGCGGGCATTGTACGTCGCAAGTTTTCGTTTTGTGCGTTGGGACATATCTTTTACTGGTGACTTTCATTTTGTTTGGGATGTGCGCGAACATAGGGCAGCCATCGAAATGGCAAGCCTAGGGTCTCAAATCTGCGACGAGTTTGTTCGAAGCAGGTAGCATGCGGCACGTAGCTGTCACAGTCTATATAGTATCAGTCAGGTGACTGACAAGCGGAAATTACGCCGCAGTCGTACATGATCAGTGCCTGGTTACTTGTCGGTAGTGGGCAGCGAAGTTTCCGAACTAGCAGGTTGATGTTTTTGCCGCTTTGCGATTGCCCACCAGCCCATACAAAAGCAGTCGCCAGGGGAGCCACCCTGACCAGGAATGAGTAGCAACAGTGGACCAACAAGAGTGCAGCCATAACCTTCGGAAAGACAAGAAGGAATTCTCGAAGCTTGTCTGGAGATCTTCGGGAACCTTAGAGGGTGGTGTAGGGAGGTCTGGAGGGGGTGGTTCGTTTGGAGCTGTCTTGGAGGCCTTGGGGGCCTCCTTGAGGTCATTTCTGGAGCCAGCGATCAAAGAAGGGAGGTCAGATATTCCCCCCTCCCCGCCGCGTCGGATGCCCAAACATTGCCTCTTGGAGCTCTCTCGGGGCGCTCTTATGGCATTCTTAGGCGCTCGTGAGGGCGCCTTGGGGCACTCTTGGACCCCTCGTGGAGCTCTATCTGGCCATCTTGGAGCCACCTTGAAGCCTCCAGGGCCGATCTCCAGAGAACAGGCAAAGATGCGAAGACGCTATACTTCCCAAAGAGTTTAGGAGGATTGGGGCCTCTCGGATGCACACCTTTGGAGGCTCAGTGGGGACATGAAGCCGTCTTGGCGCGGTCTTGAGAGCTATTGGAGGCATGTTGGAGGCTATCTTGAATCGTCTTGGGCTACCTTGAACGATTTTTGAGGTAGTCTGCCTGGTGCTTTCTTGGAGTCATATTGGGCCGTATCGGACGCTCTACCCATCGCGACGCCCGCCCCCCCCCCCTCTCCAGACCCAGGGGGCAGGGGGGGAACCTTTCTTCTCCGAAAGGAACGAAAAGGGGACTAGCAGAACGATCTATTAATCCAGTCGCGCCGAGAGGGCTGGTGGGATTTAGAGCGTGGTGTGTGGTTGAGCGGCACTTCCTACGACGTAACCAATAGTTTGCTGCAGAAGTTCGCAGCACGTTGTATTTGTCAAATATCATGGGGGACGTTGATCCTGCGGTGCATTCACTGGGCATTGCTGCGTGGACGTAGAAGTGGGGGGGGGGGGGTGAACACGGTGTGCGTGGACCATGCACGGTTGGCACCAATCTGCGACTAATGATGTATTTGCTGATGTTGCAGCCGCAGTTAGACCGATCAATTCTTCACACGTGGCAATCGATATGTGCTGCTATATTTGATTGCCGCCGTGGGTAGTCATTGTACGTGGGACGTGTGCCTTCACCACGCAGCACATTGCGATGCTAAGGTAGCAGCACGCGGGTAGTTATTACACGAATGACCTCGTACCGTCGTAACACTTAGCACTACTTGTCGTGACGGAAGTTAGCCCTGTGGCTGTCGCAGTGTCGGTAGCGTAGGTTGCGTTACCGTTCATAATAGCATATTCTGTGCTCTTGAATTCGTACTTGCAGAGGCAGCGTAGGTCGCATCAGTTTCATGTTTGCGGGTCGGAGACCATATCAAGTACGGACTGTATCAGCAGCGGCCGTAGTAATGGTCGTAGTGGAAGTCGTACAAGTCGCCGTTGGTAGTCATTGGGGCGACAGTTCCAGCTAGCTTCTATGTTGCCGCTACTCACCGAGTTCGTTGATGGTGGTTGGGTTGTTTGTATTGGTATCGGCACGGAACTACGTAAATATTCACAGACGTCGTGGTGGCCGAAACTTCACGTGAAGTTGTGTGCGAGCCGAGGCAGGGAATTGTAGTCAGCTTGCGTGATATCGCGAACGTGAGTTTTTTGGTGCGGTTGGGGACCAGTCGAGTGCGTTGGTTCGATAGAAAGCGCGCTCGACGTTGCACGTGGTGGTAATTTCAATATGTTGTTGCACGCGATAAGCAGTCATGTGGGGGTCGCCAAACTCAGTCTTAGTGATCTTGCTGAGTTAGGGAGTGCGCGGTTGCACAGGCACAACTCGTGCAAATAGTCAGCTTTAGGACGTGCGGTAGTTCATTCTCAACTCTGAACGCGTTCATGAGGTAGATGTTACCATGAGGCAAGTTGCTGCCTGGACCTCGGTCTCCAACTAGCAAGCTCTTTTTCGCTCCTTCTCTGCCTCTTGCCTTTGCTATGTATCTGCGCCAGTTTGCCCGAGCAGTCTCGCGAAGAGGCAAATATAACCTCTTCTGGTCTCATGCCACTTTGGACTGACAGATCGACGATGCCGCATCTCGAAACAGGCAGAGCGCGTTCGATCCAAGTGGAGTGGCTTTAGCTGGATTTGTCATGGGCATCACTAACCGCGCAGGCTGACTGACAAGGGTCTCTTTGCCATTGCCGCTGATCCGAATGCTCGTTTTCCTTTTTTGCCTGAGTCCATGGGCCACTGGAAGACTTACAACGTAAGCATGAGAATCTTTGCTGTAAGTCTCTCTTTGCACTCCGCGACAGCCTGTGCTGCCCGCTTCCCCGGAAGCGGCAGATCTTAGGCGCGCCCTGACCTTTAGAAAGTGTTTTGATGGGCTCTCGGGAACTCCAGGGGGTGGGAGGAGGGTGATGGGGAGGAGGAGGAGGAGGAGGAGGAGGAGGAGGAGGAGGAGGAGGAAGAGGAAGGGAGGAGCATAAGTATGAAAAGGAGGGGGTAGGAGGAGGAGAAGGAGGAGGAGGAGGAGGAGGAGGAGGAGGGGGTTGGACAAGCTAGGTGCGCTCGCGTCACATCTGACGTCCGAACCGTCCTTCCCATCCCTTACCATGGCGTCGATCTCCTCTCTATTCGCACAGTCGGATGTCGTAGCAGCGCATAGCATTACATGGCATAGCATGGTGTTGAAGATCAGCGCTTATCCTGACATAGCATGGCGTGGCGACGCCCCACAGTGGTGGAGGGGGCTTCTGCGGTCCAAAAAATACCGAATGTGTAATCACTTCGGTGTTTTTTTCAGGGGGGGAGGGGGCATTTTCTAGATTTGTGGGCTTATTTGGAAGAACCGAAAACCACTCCGGCCGTTGCATGGCGCTGGGAATAATGACGCCAGCGTTGCAGTGGGAGCACGATTCGAAACGAGCGGAAGCGCGGAAGTGAGACCAGCGCTGCAGCGGGAGCACGAGTCGGAGGACGCGTAGCCTGACATAGCATGGCGTGGCGACGCCTCAAATTGGGGGAGGGGGCTTCTGCAAACCCCAAAATCATATAATCCCGAATGTGTAATCACGTCCGACGGTTGTTTCGAGGGGGTATTTTCCAGATTTTGGGGCCGGTTTGTTGGAAGGACCGACAACGATGCCGTGGCATAGCGCTGGAAACAATGACGCCAGCGCTGCAGCGGGAGCACGATTCGGAACGAGCAGAAGCGCGGACATGAGACCAGCCCTGCAGCGGGAGCACGATTCGGAAAGAGCGGTATCCCGAAAATGAGGCCGGCGCCTCAGCGAGAGCAGCATTTTGAAGAAGCACACCCAAGCGAAAGCCCGACTCCCGGGAGAGTAGTATTCATATTGATTAATGGTAGAGGAGGAGGATGTGGAGGAGGAGGATGTGGAGAGGGCTGACCCGATCGACCACTGCGGTGTACAGCGCCGGCGAGTTGACGCCAGCTGCCTGGATCCATCGAGCTGGCACCCGCCGATGCGGACGAATCTTCGTGGCTGAGCTTGCCCGCGAATGGTTCGTCGCGGGAGAGCCGGCCTGCCGATGGGGGTCCACCAAGCCAAGTTTTCTTCTGCGAATGCGGACGCCTGTGGGCTTCGGAAGTGCGTGGCGTTGGCCGAAGGAGAAGCGACGACACGAGCGGAACCTGGCGGAGCTCCGCGCGGAGTTCCTGGATCTGCGCTGGGCTGCCCTCCCCGCGGGCCCCTGGCGCGCTCCACGCGCCGGGGAGGGTGGCCCCAGCGCAGCCCCAGGAAGTCCGCGCAGGCCTCCGCGAGTTCCTGTTCGTGATGGTGCCCTCTTCTTCGTGAGCTCTTGCGGTGGCCCCGCTCGCGGCATCACGCTACGCTGCGCTCAGGAATCAGGAGGGGGAGAAGCACACAAAAACAATGAATCTTCGATCCCCCAGGGAAACATGGGGCGGGGCAAGTATGGGCAGCGGGGGGGAAGACAAAAACCCAGGAAGTATAGGAAGATGGGGGGAATCCTGTTATTTGTGTGCATTTATTTGTGTATCCCAGGGCCCCTTCCAGGAACTTCTCGTCAGCGCTTCGCTCCGCCCGTTTTGGCCCCGCTCGCCACGGCGCGACACGCCACCCGCGTCCCGGCCACTGAGCGCCCGCGCCCCCCGCTTCTTGCCAGGCCTCCTGCTCCGCGGGGGGGGGGCGAGCGACACGCGGTCCGCTGGCAAGGCAGTTGTAACGCTTCTCTTGGGCTGCCGCCGCGACACGCCGAGCAGAAAATTCTTGGCCGCACCGCCGGCGCGCTGCTGAAGCTGAGGCTCCCAGTCAGGGAAGCCAGAGGAGCAAACACCGACAAACATGGCAAATCGGGAGGTCCGCGCGGATGTCTCGGATCGGCGTCGGGTCCCCCTCCCTAGCGCGCGAAGCGCGCCGTGGGGCGGCGTCAGCGGCGCCGCCGGGGGCCCCAGCGTCGATCCAAGGATTCCGCGCGGACCCCGGAGTTTTTGCGCTCATGTCACTGCTTGTTCCCCTAGAAGTAAGTCGGGCCTCTACAGGAGGAAAGTCCCCAAATACGGAAAACAAAATACTCTGGGGACTCTTTCCGGAGTATCCTCTGACTCTTTGGGGGTAGTGTTTGTGAGTCTTTTCTGTTCGTCTTTCGCCTGAAGTCCCCCCGTAGGGGGACAGGCCCGACTGAGCCCTACAGAAGCGGCGGCCGTCCGACGCCGTCCCGACACGAGGCTCGAGGACGGCCCTGCCGGCCGCTCGCCTGCCTCCGCTCTCTCGCCGGGCGGCCTCCGCCGGCGGCCATCGGCCGGGCGGCTGCCCCTGGCGGCCGCCCCGGCGCTGGGGGGAGGTCGGCCCGGTTCGCCGTGGCCTCCTGCGTCAAGCAGGGGCGAAGCGTCCTGGCTCGCCGATAGGCTTATGATGCTCCAACCTACTTCCCTGACCTTCCAGGAGGGCTAACAAATAGCACCAGGACCTCGATATCTTAATTCCTATCGAGGCTTCAGGCAGCCCAGATAGGTCTATAGGTCTGGGGGACTAATTTTTAGCACTCTGGAAGGTCAGGGTTTAGCCTTGACCACTGGGAAGAGTTTCGAGCACCAGACAAGCACCCCAGAACTCCAGGGTTTTCCCGCGTCGGGCCCTGGGAGACACTCGTCCGACACTGTTTCGACACTCTCTCGACACCCTTTTGACACTTTTCCGGGTGCTCGAAATTATTTCTGGGATGTGGTCCTTAAGTAGGATGGGGTCAACATAACGATAGGCCTACCAAGCAATGTTCTGAGGACCTTTTGTGGTTTGCACGGGCTGTTCTGGGAGCATTTCTGGTGGAGACTGTCTTGTTCTAGCACACTGGGCTGATGTTCTAAGAGCACTGTTTTTGTTCTTAGAACATGTTTGGGTTCTGAGAGCATGTCGCGGTAGGACTACAGGAATGCCCAGACGGTCGGTCCCGGCTCAACTGCTCCCTCTCGGAGGGTGACGGGATGTGTCGTTGCGTGAGGTCCAACCCCGAGCTCGGCGGCGAAATCCGGACCCCACCCTCGCCGATCCACGGTTCAGGCAAAGGAGAGCAGCGACGGTCAGAGGGGGGGCGGGGTTCGTGTGCCGCCACGCACGGACCAAACCTCCGGGTCGGGGTCGAAGGTCGCCGCGGTGATCGCGGCGGCCACAGGCCGGTGCAGGGCTCTGTCAAGGAACTGCATGCCCCATCCCTGCCTGCCCTGGCTCTGCGATGTAGACGTGGCCCATGATTCACCATGTAGCAACAGAGAGTTGTACATCTATATCCAACATGGGCGGGCATGTTGTTCTGGTTGGGGGTCCTCTATCACGCCACCGATGTGGATGGGGAGTCGAAGGAAGAAACACGGTGACCATGACCAACATGCCTCGGGATCTTGTCGACGCCGATTTTCTTGGTTATGGGTCATGTCGGCCGTCGCCGATTCGCGAAGATGATCCACGAGTTGACGCTGACCGTGTCCGTCGGAGACCAATATCGTCATGACGCTTGGGCGTTCGGTCTTGGTCATGGCCCGTGTGGTATTCCCCTCAAGCGGAGGGAGATGGAGCAATTCATTGGAGGAACAAGTAACGACAATCAGAGTGAGGCAGACAGATGGTGGAGGAGGTGGGAGGGAGGGAACAGGATGATGAAAGAGAAGGGACGAGAACTGATCTGATGGGGGTGGGAGTGATACATCACGGAGAAATGCTGCTCTCGCCTCTCCGAAAAAAAGCCTGGGCTCGAGATGCGAGACCTTTTTTGAACCCGAGGCTGTGGTCGTTTTCACGTCCCGTAGATGCGGAGCTGGCCCGTGCTGCCTCTCTGCGCGAGCACCCCCCCTGCGCCGCCGACGGCTCCCGCCCGAGCTCAGCTCCACAGCCGAGAGCTCGGCCGCGGGGCGCGGCGGTGAGGCCGGCCGCTGCCGGGCCCGCCTGCCCCGCCAGGCCCTGCCGGCACCCGCCCCGCCCCTCCTCGAGCGCGCTCCACCGCTCGCAGAGTGCCTATGTACTCGCGCAGACGTCCGAAGAGCACAACATCTGCTCCGATGTCATCTATAGGACATCCCCCGCGGCCCTCTGCGAGCAGTTCCTCTGCGGGTCGCGGGGACGCGCTCGTCCAGCCCCACGGGACCTCCGCGGCGCGCTCGTCCAGGCCCGCGGAGCGCCGGGCTCGTGGCCCCTGCGCCCCGCGATCGCCCAGCGCGCCGCCGCCTGCGGGCTCCCACCTCAGCCGCGCGCAGAGGGGGGTGGAGGGAGGGGGGAGGGCTTCTTAGAAGCACCCCTGCTTCTTAGAAGGCGCGGGCCTTATCTACAGATGTAAGGCCGGCGCCTTCTAAGAAGCAGCCTCCTTCTAAGAAGCCCTCCCCCCTCCCTCCACCCCCTTGTGCGCGCCGCCAACCACCGGGCCGCGCTGCGCCAAGGTCGCCGCGAGGGCGGCCGGCGGGTGCCCCGTGCGGTGGCCACGTGTGCCCCCCCGCCCCCGCCCGCCAGGATGGCTGAGAGGGGCGCGGGGGGTCGGCGAGAGGAGCCCCCAGACACCCTGTGGAGAGCGTGGCGGGCGGGGGCGGGGTTCGCACGTTCCCCGCGCGCGGTCCGCCACTCGCAGACCGTCAGGGAAACACACACACACACTTACACACACACACTTACACACACACTTACACACACACACTTACACACACACTTACACACACACACACTTACACACACACACTTACACACACACTTACACACACACACTTACACACACTTACACACACACACTTACACACACACTTACACACACACACTTACACACACACTTACACACACACTTACACACACACACTTTCACACACACACTTACACACACACTTACACACACACTTACACACACACTTACACACACACACTTACACACACACTTACACACACAGAGACAGACAGACAGACAGACAGACAGACAGACAGACAGACAGACACAGACACACACACACACACACTTACACACCCACACACTTACACACACACACTTACACACACTTACACGCACACTTACACACACTTACACACACACACTTACACACACACACTTACACACACACACTTACACACACACACACACTTACACACACTTACACACACTTACACACACACTTACACACACACACACTTACACACACACTTACACACACACACACTTACACACACACACGGTCGCCTCGTTGTGATGCATCGTAGGTCCCCCGCGGGGGATCCGGGCCATTTGCGAGTGGTTACTTTGCGAGACGTGGGACGCGCTTGTCGACATGTGGTCGCCTGCCCGTCCTGCCAGCGGGGCGGGTCCGCCTCCGCTGACCGATGTCTGGCGGGCGTTGCGCTTCGGGCGGAGAGGCGGGCCCCTTCGGCGCGCGCGCGCGCCGCAGAGTGGTGCCGCGGCCCGGCGCAAGCGCGAGGGCCAGCGGGCTCTCGCGGCATGGCCTGTCTGGGCCAGGGGCCCGGCTGCGGCCCGACGAGCTAGCTATTCGGCGATGCAACTCCTGGGAGGTCAAAGTCTGATTTTGCCCTGGTCCGACATCCGGCTTAGTCCAGCTTCGTTCCGCTTCATCTGGCTTAATCCCGCTCAGTCTGGCTTGATCCCGCTTATTCCGAGGCCCAGTCTGGCGTAGCAGCCCCCCAATGGGGCCCAAGTCTTCTGAATCCTTCCGACGAAGACCTCCCAAGTAGTTGCCTCCTCACAGCTGCTAATCATGAGCGTGCTGGCCGCAGTGCAGCAGCTGGAGCTCACCGACTGCGCGGGACTGCCCTCCGTCTTCACATGCGCTTTTCTGCCAGCCAGACCCCGAACCGGCCACTTCGCGTGCTGGGCGCCAGGATCGCGCAGTTCTTTTTGGGGCGCCCCCACCTCGAGAGCCTGCACCGCTGGGCGAACTCTGCCGCCACCAGGTCACCCGCCCGCGCCCCGACGGGCGTGCGCGACGCGGCGGCCGACGCGTCGACCCCCCCCCCCTCCCCTCCTCCTCCTCCTCCTCCTCCTCCTCCTCCTCCTCTCCTCCTCCTCCTCCTCCTCCTCCTCCTCCTCCTCCTCCCTCCGCCCTCCTCCGCCCTCCTCCGCCCTCCTCCTCTCCTCTCCCTCCTCCTCCTCCTCCTCCTCACCCTCCTCCCTCCTCATCCTCCTCCTCCTCCTTCTTTTCCGCCCTCCTCTCCTCCTCCTCCTCCTCCCTCCGCCCTCCTTCGCCCCTCCTCCCCTCCTCCTCCTCCTCCTCTCCTCCTCCTCCTCCCTCCCCTCCTCCTCCTCACCCGCCTCCATCTCCTCCTCCTCCTCGCCCTCCTCGCCATGGTAAGGGGTGGGAGGGAGGGGTAGGACCTCAGATGTGACGCGAGCGCACCTAGCTTGCCCCCCACCCTCCCCCTCTCTCTCCTCTCCTACCCCCTCCTTCTCATACTTATGCTCCTCCCCTCCCTCCTCCTCCTCCTCCCTCCTCCCTCCTCCTCCTCCTCCTCCTCCTCCTCGCCCTCCTCCCTCCTCCTCCTCCTCCTCCTCCTCCTCCTCCTCCTCCTCCTCCTCCTCCTCCTCCTCCTCCTCCTCCTCCTCCTCCTCCCTCCTCCTCCCCCCCCTCGCGTCGACCTGGCGGCCCTGGCCGAGCGCGCGGGGCGGGCAGCCCCGTTGGGCGTGCCGGCCCGGCGCGCAGCTCGCGGGGGTGGCCTTCGGCCAGGCCAGGCCGCGCGCGCCTGCTCGGCCGCCCGAGCTGTGCACGCCGGCGCGGCGCGGAGCCCAGCGCGCGGGGAGCAGCACCGACCGTTGGCTCCGAGGCCCGAATATCATCACGTCACTAATTTGTGCGCGTTTGCAGTGTCTATTGCGGCCTTTTGTCGCGCCAGAGCTGTTACACCGCCGAACGCTTTCATGAGCCCGCGGTCGTTGCGGGGAAAAAATTGGGGCCCCAGGGCACACGGAGGCCCCGGGGGCCCCAGATCAGTGAAGTGATGTTCTTTCCCCACGCGAGGGCCCCGAAATTCACCACTTTGCACCAGACCGAGCCCAGGACGAAAGTCAGGGGCCGAATTGCTGCTGTGATGCAGCACAGGTCTCGTATTGGCGCGCTCTGTGGCTGGGCGAAGGGATCAGGCAGACCAGGCGGCGGACTCTCGGCGGCGCTCGCCGCTGCGCTGCGCGCGGGCTGCATCCGGAAGCGCACATAGTCGAGCCTCGCCGAGCGGAGCCGCCGCTACACTGCAAGTCGGCCGAGGCCGCGTGGGCCGACAAACTTAGCGCGTCCGCTCACCGGCAGAAGCAGAGGAGGGCGAAAAGCCCTTGCTGGGATGACGAGCCATCCTGTATCGACATTTTCTCGGGGCCAAGTGCCTGGGGTCGCAGCATGAGGCGTCGGTGCTAAGAAGTCAATAGTTCGAATACATCCAAGGCCGTTGCGGTAGAATCCAAGTGCCGATGTGGGCGTTACGATTGATTTGATCTGGCCATTGTTTGGGCCTCTTTGCAGGAATCTCCTGCTGCACGTCCTTTTCGGTCGATAAGGTCTTGGTCCAAACCCGCGAGACTCTCATCTGCTTCCTCAAAGTTCAGGCCCACGCGAAGGAGGGTGATTATTTGTCTTATGCAGCAGCCCGAGTGAGGAGTTGGAGGAGCAGAGGGATGACGAGATGGTGGCAGAGGACGGGGAATTCTACGTGTTCGATAGCTACCTTTTGGGGCCACCTGGGGGTAGCCTGGTTGCCACGCTTCTGGTTCTGCTTTGAAGTACTGGTCAGAGCGCACTTGTGGGCATGACTGGGCGTCGACTGGGATGAGGAGGA